AGAACAAACCATTAGATAGTAAAACGTGATCATCCTCTCCTCCCCTCTCTCATCTAGGGTGGGTGGTGCTCGCACCAGAGTTGTGTTGTGAGGCGAACACATAATGCTTGGGGTGCTAGGCCTATGTTTCTTCCTCCTCCTCATATCAGGGATGTGGGGTGCGAGGGGGTGTTTTTTTTTTGGGGGAGCAACTATAACGCATGTTAAAGTATCGTATTCTCCCTCCTTCTCCACTCCACAACGATTTTTTGTGTACCTATCGAGTATTATTTTTGTGGGGCAAACAAAAAAAATAGTGGTTGTATAATACCTCCCCTCCTCTATTTACAGAAAGAAAGGGAGAGGGATAGAGAGTTAGAAACATTGATGAGAGAGAAACATCAATTCAGCTGCCTCCTGCACACTCCCTACTGGGGATGTGCCCGCAACCAAGGTATATGCCCTTGACTGGAATCAAACCCAGTACCCTTCAGTCCGCAGGCCGACGCTCTATCCACTGAGCCAAACCAGTTAGGGCAGTAAGTTTTATATGTACCTTTTAAATGCACAGACTTCACAACCAAGCATAAGAAATGACCAGGGTGCCGAAACCGGTTTGGCTCAGTGGATAAGAGCGTCGGACTGCGGACTGAAAGGTTCCAGGTTCGATTCCGGTCAAGGGCATGTACCTTCGTTGTGGGCATATCCCCAGTGGGAGATGTGCAGGAGGCAGCTGATCGATGTTTCTCTCTCATCGATGTTTCTAACTATCTCTCTCCCTTCCTCTCTGTAAAAAAATCAATAAAATATATTAAAAAAAAAGAAAGAAAGAAAAAAGAAATGACCAGGGTGGCAAAGCAAAGAGGGAGGGGAAAGTGAGGTGAGCAAAAACGTCCCCTGGAGCAGGGGAGTGGGTGGTCCTGATGCCAGGGTGGGGCTTTCACACCCACACAGGGCCAGCAGGTGGACTCTGAGACGCCTCCATGAGGCCAGAATGCTCAAAGGGTGCATCAGTGCAAGAGTGGACCAGGGGAAAGAACAATCCCCAAAGCAGTTTCTCCAGTTACTTCAGTCCCAAGGAGCACACTGGAGAGTCTGGGATTCACCCCCATGCCCATCTGTCCCCACAGGAGCGGGGTAGTCATGTGACAGAGTGCAAGTGAGTGACTTCCATCTCAGGTCTCAACACAGGTGAGTGTGCAGAACATGAGCAAGACAGGGATGGGGTACGAGGGGCACAAGGGAGGACAGGCGGCCACTGCGGAGGGTTTGGCCCAGCAAATGGAGGCTGGCTGGCCTGCTCTCCCCTGGGAAGGACTGTCTTAGAACGTACAGTTGCAACACACACTTTAAAGGAAATAAAATGACTTCATTTGAAAAATCAAGTAGATGTTTCCATTTATGCTAAACCCATATTACTGTGATTTATTGAACATCAATATTGCAAATGTAATGAAACCACAGTATCAGAAATACATTTTGAAAGCTCTTTCTAAAGGCACCAAGAAAATACAAAAAGTTACATTATAGTCATCCATTTGTAAAATTCAACAAATCAGTCTAGATATTGAAAACTTTTTTCTTCCAGTAGAAACTGCAAAAATATAAAATATAATTTGTGTTTATCTCCCCTCCCTCCCCCCTTCCATCCCATCTTTACCTTCTATTTGATTGTAACCTGTTTCAGTGACACAGTCAAAGCTTCGGACAACAGAAGAAGATAGCATGTCATTAGCACTGCTAGTGACATCGCAGAGCAGGAATGCCAAGCTGCACCTTCTGCCTCCCATCATCGTCTTCCCCACACAAATGTTCCCACATAAGCATGTAAAATAACAGAAGTGCTGACTCAGGGAAGTTTTGCTGCTGCTGACTCAGCAGAGGAAGGGCCCTGGGTCCAAGCACAACGGAGGTCTCGGACAGAAAACTTCAGAGTTGAGGTCCAGATGCTGAATTCTACATCAACAAGCATGACCTGTCCACCCAGCGGTGGCCCATTAGATGCAGGGGGTCCAAGAGAATGTGGACAGGCGGGTTCATCTGAACGTTAGGGAGGAGGTGGGGCAGCGCGGGCCTGATGCTGGCAGGAGGGGGCAGCCCAGGCACCTCGAGGGCAAGGACCGCTGAGTGAGTTTGGAAAGGCTTCTCCTCACGTGAGGTTCATGCCTATAGCTCTCCTTTGGTTTCGCTGGGATGTGGCTACAATGTGCAAAAAATGC